ACAACCATTCTCACTCACACTTAGGGACAATGAGTGTTCAATCAGCCTGAAAGGCATGTTTTTTTTTAGAACGTGGGAGGAAACCGGAATACCCGGAGAAAACCCACGCATCCCATATTAGGTTATTTATCTATCGAAGAACGTTGTGATACCAGATAATGCGACACATTTATTGCTGGTTTCCTATTGGACCACCTGTGATCACATGACCCAGATTATCCAGACAGTTGCTTGACTTTTGTTTCATTTACAGGCTGGGAAACCACACAGCTGCCCTCATTATCACTTAAATATGCGTAGTTGTTGTTTGGTGTGTAAATGTGTTCTGTTTTGGCTGTTTGACGTTTGTCACCATCACTGTAGCGAGCACTGTCGGGAAACAGATTGTCCCTTGTGGCATTTGGGAGTTATCGCTTCTCGGCCTTTTGGCTAAGATCAAGTGTAGTATCTGTTCTTATCAGTTTAATATCTGATACGTCCCCTATCCGGGGACCATATATTAAATTGATTTTTGCAACTGGGAGATGGAATAGGGGCTTGCTCCGTCCACTCCACGCATCGACCTGGTATTGCAGTACCTCCAGGAATGGTGCACCCCCTCTGATGGTCAGAAGTAATTTTTTTCTTGTTTCAAATACAGAATACTTCATTTTGTCAGCTAATCATACACTTGTCCAAAAATGGTTCTGTGTTTCCCATGTGTGTGGAAATTGTAATTATGTGTTAAAGGATTAGAAAAACATTGTGCATGAAAATGTGTTACTACTGTTGTAGATGTAAATAACATCTTTTTAAAATTATTCAACTTTGTAAAATTGTAATATTAATAATCTCTTTCGGCAGGATAGAATCTATTCCAAGGAAGTTGCATCTCTCGTATCGTCTTTGTTTGAAGCCATACTTCACATGAGATTAAAACTATTCTCAGTCAAACTTTTCCTACTCCTTTCTTTCCGGGAAAGATTTCTTTATTTTGCAACTTTCTCAAATTTTCTAGATTAAAAAAAATGTTGCCCTCAAGATAAAAGAAATTCAAACTAAGTCTCATTTTTCTACATTTTAAGGAATACAGTCATGCTTTTAACTGTCCGCCGGAATTAATTATTAAAATATACTTCATCTTGTTCCGTCCCCTCTATTAAACAAAGGGTGAAGTCAAAATGGATAAAGCAGAGTATTTACAATCTGTGGTGGTCATATAAATAATGGTTACAAACGTATATTTCCAAATGTAGATTTTCTATACTGTTCTAATAAATATTGGTGCTTGACTAAGTGAAGTGTTGCGAAAGATTGTTTGGCGTTACAAACGCCACCCGATGTCAGCAGCATTAAACTCTGTTCCTGACCACACAAAGAAACAGGAAGTGCTCTCAAACCGTGGGGGAAGGGACGATTCTCGCTTTGCATTCTTGGGAGAAAAGAAGCAATGCATGATGGGATTGTTTTTGCAGATTCATTTGACCTCGTTTATAATGGGTTAGTTCATGACACGATCCAAAGGTACTACTTAGACTGATGTACGGGTGTTGCCTCATCCAGTGAGTGAGTTTATGTCCGTTCGCACGCGTGTGGTAGAGGATCCCGTAACTGAAGATGGTGTGTGTGCTAAAGACTTTGGGCTGGTGACTTGTACAACTCATACTTACCTGGCAGGGGAGATACCATGATCAAGAAGGTGGTTCACCCAGGGTGAGGCTCAGCCATTGCACTCCGGTTGTGCTGACCCCTGCGAATTCCCCAAATGTGGGAATCTCAACTGCAAATTTTCTGGTAGTGGGGGACTGCGTTCGCGCTCTCCCCTGATTTACTGGTCAATGACAAATTGCTTCTTCTTTAGTGTGTGTGTGTGAGTGTGGAAAAAGCACTTGTGTGAATGAATAATCAACTCACCCATTTTGTAATAAGCATTGTGTCACAACGATTGCGGATAAATTGGATTTGCGCTGGTGCTGGGCAGTGCCGGATGCGTTTCAGTCTGTCTGTCAAATGTTGATCAAATGGCCTATTCACCACAAAATTAAAACAGCCATGCGTATTATTTCTGGAAATTCATCCATCCATTTTCTGAACAGCTTTATCCTCACAAGGGGGGGGCGGTGCTGGAGCCTATCCCAGCTGTCTTCGGGCAGTAGGCGGGGGCCACCCTGAACCGGTTGCCAGCCAATTGCAGGGCACACAGAGATGAACAACCATTCTCACTCACACTTAGGGACAATGAGTGTTCAATCAGCCTGAAAGGCATGTTTTTTTTTAGAATGTGGGAGGAAACCGGAATACCCGGAGAAAACCCACGCATCCCATATTAGGTTATTTATCTATCGAAGAACGTTGTGATACCAGATAATGCGACACATTTATTGCTGGTTTCCTATTGGACCACCTGTGATCACATGACCCAGATTATCCAGACAGTTGCTTGACTTTTGTTTCATTTACAGGCTGGGAAACCACACAGCTGCCCTCATTATCACTTAAATATGCGTAGTTGTTGTTTGGTGTGTAAATGTGTTCTGTTTTGGCTGTTTGACGTTTGTCACCATCACTGTAGCGAGCACTGTCGGGAAACAGATTGTCCCTTGTGGCGTTTGGGAGTTATCGCTTCTCGGCCTTTTGGCTAAGATCAAGTGTAGTATCTGTTCTTATCAGTTTAATATCTGATACGTCCCCTATCCGGGGACCATATATTAAATTGATTTTTGGAACTGGGAGATGGAATAGGGGCTTGCTCCGTCCACTCCACGCATCGACCTGGTATTGCAGTACCTCCAGGAACGGTGCATCCCCTCTGATGGTCAAAAGCAATATTACCAGTGATAGGTGCAACCAGATGTGATATCATAGTAGTCTCAAGTGACTGTCAACAAATTCAGTCTGTTACCCCCAGGTTTGAAGTCCACAATTTTCTTTTTATGGTTTAGAAAAAGTACAGCAAGATCATGTGTCTTCATACTTAGTGTTGTAGATGCAAACAATTACAGACACTCCCCAACTTACGAACGAGATATGTTCCGAACGATCGTTCGTAAGGTGAATTCGTTCGTAAGTTGCTTCAGTGCTATATTTTGTATGGGATGTATGTTTAAGGCTTATATAAGTGTGTTTAAGGATTATATAAGTATAATAAAATGAAGTTTAACTTACTTTTGGAAGATGTACTTGAAGGCTTAAGGAGATGTGGCGGGGGGGGAGAAGGAAGAGGAGGATTTTATATCATGGGGCCGAGAGGGTCTTCGTCGTCGCTGGAATGGGCTTCAAGAGTTACTTCCTCCTCCGTAACATCAATGAAGGAAGAAGCTGAGGGTCCAGGAGAAGAAGATGCGGGTTGACGAGTATCTTCCTTGGAGGGTATAGTAGAAACTGGCCGAAAGAAGCGATCTAACTATGATTGCACAATTTTCTTCTTTTTCTCATCATAAATGATGCAGTAGCACTGTATGGCATCATTCATTTGATTTGCAACCTTTGTGCAACGTTCAATATTTGGGTCTTGCTGCTCGACGAGTGCGATGGCTTTATCTATGAGCGAAAACCCCTCGGCCAAGAGTTCCGTCTCGAATTTCTTCATGGGGACAGGCGTCACTTGGTTAAAACAAATTTTAGCATGCATGTGAGGCTTGTTGTCAGGATTAAAGAGTCCACATGGCCGTTTTTTTTCTCGCGGTAACATTCATCACTGCAAATGTCAGGTGCAGAAAATTCATTTGTCTAAGTGCCAAAAAGCGTTTATTGCTCCTCTCCAATTGGGCCTTTGTGGGTCACATGACTCACAGTACTCAATGGCTGCTGTGTTTCATTTTTTAGGCTGGAATACATCACAGTTTTGGTTTTGTGGTAAATTACACTGGTCGGCTCATCCACCTCACAGTGGCACACATAGGTTTGCAGGTTTGATTCCAGACTCCGGCCTTCCTGTGTGGAGTTTGCATGTTCCCCCTGTGCCTGCGTGGGTTTCCCCTACGTTCCAAAAAACATGACGGGTAGGTTGATTGGATGCTCTACGTTATCCACAGGTGTGACTGTGATTGGCAAATGGTTGTTTGTCTTTGTGTGCCCTGTAATTGGCTGCTAACCAGTTCAGGATGTACCCCGCCTGCTGCCCAAAGATATAATTATGCATTTTACAAATAAAGTAATACATTTATAATGATCTACACAACAATGTGTCATAAATAAAGTATGCAATCGTCTTTTGTCATTGAATAAATATTGATTTGAATTGCTTGCCCTTGGCATTCTTTATGTGCTGCAAAAGCCAGCACATTTTGCAGCAGTGGCAGGGGTTGCGGCAGCTCTCATGTCGTCACAGTGCTTTGAAGCTTGTTTCAAATCATATGACATCTCATCCTGCGACCCGATTCGAGTTCCAATGACCCCCTTTCAAATTCTCGGTCAAGCGTGGGGAAAATAAATGATGCATGACGGGAATCTTTTTTCCTGAGTCTTTCCGGATCCATCTGGAATTGTGAAATTCTGGACTTGAGTTGCCCTCAGGACTTTGTATGTATCCTTGGCGTTGTTGTTTGATTGTGTGTATGTTTTATATATTTTTGTGAAGCCTCTGCACTGCATTTTGCATCTTGTTTCGAACTAAAACAATGCTCTTTAAAAACAGATATCTGATTAAGTAGGCTCACTGTGTATACCTCAGTAACTTCCAAGACAACGGGCTGATGACAATATTGTTTGAAGCTGGACTTGCTAAAATAAAATAATCTTCATGATTGGTGACGTCTTCGGACGCATTTTAATTGTATATTATTCATGCACATATGGTATTATATTAATAGACACGAACAAAGCCTAAACCTCAGCTATTGTCTTCTTTAGTGGCTCTGTGGTGACATCTTGTGATTAAAAAAAAAATACATTGCCGTTTGAGGTTTCCGATCACGGTCCCTCTCGCCATTCACTTTCAAACGAAAAATGTGTAACACCACCATCTAGTGGTCAAAGTAGAAATGACATCCTCCCCGCCTTCTCAGCCCCTTCGTGCTATCTGTGCTCGACTAATTTGGACTGAGGAAACCCGCAACAAGGCCATGTGTTGAGTCGAGAAAAAGCGATCACCCCGTAACGTTACTTTTATCGAGAATCATTCCCCTTTGCTTGTATCACTTTTTGGGCCGTTTTTCCACCCCAACTACAATTCTAAGTGAAGACACATGGACCACCTCTCTTCTTTCGGCAGTAAGTTAAATTGTCATCCCAGTTGTGCGGTCGTTATATTGTACAACGACCGATGTAGCATTGTTACGCGAACAATATCGTACGGCGATAAACCACAACATTTGTTCGAATTTATGCTTTAGTGGCAAATGCGTGGCTAAAACCCAATTTTGTAAAACCTAATTCTGTTTAATTGATAGGTTTTCGAAATTATTCAGCGGAATTCAAGGCTGCTTCGCTAGGTTGCATTAGCACTGCTCGCTAGTTACCCGTAAAGGGCATGCAAAGCCCTTTCATTGTCTTCGGAGAGCTGCAAATACAGTATCTACAGTTAGTTCGCCTAATACTGTCTAATATAGTAGTCTCGTCAGAGTTGGGGGTGAAAATAAGACATTCAACAAATAAGAGTCCATGATTCGGATGACTGAAAAGCGGCCTTTTTAGCAATCATGTTATTTTAATTTTTATTTTTTATTGAAATTGTGGCCTTTGAGTTTTTTGAACGGACACACGGGCTGGATCATTCATAGATGGGGTAAAAAAATAATAGTGAAAGTTAGAGTGTCTGTCAAATGAATAGACCGAACCCAATATTCCATGCTATTATTTCCTTGAAAGATTTGTTTTCAATGTTTATCTTCATTAACCAATTGTTTATTCCATTAAGATTTATATTCTCATTTATTCTGGGATCTGAAACCTATACCAGCTGACTGTAAATGTGTGTTGGATTTTATAAAAACTGTTAAGACATTAATTAGATAAATCAATCACAAATGAAAGCAAAATATTATAGCTATTGTTTGTAATTCATTAGTAGTAATGTAGCAATTTATTTTTTAATAAAATTAGATATATTAAAGGTATTTGTATAATAAATCTTTCCTACTAAGATTTTATTTTGTTTTATTATTTACAGTAACTCCATTAGCACATTATTTTATTAGATACACAAATGAAAAGTAAAATTAAATTGTTTACTGAACAGCTAAGTTTCTGCAACAAATACAGTACTTTAAGAAAACAATCATGCTAATTGTTTTAAATTTAGTATTTATGTACTATAACCAATTATTTGATATGTACAAAATACGTGTAAAAATGCCGTTGCTACTTTTGTTGACAATAACTCCATTAACACATTATTTAGTGACTGAATTAACATACAAGATATTTAAATTTACCAATTTAAGTGGGGAAAACGGCTAAATTAATGCATCATGTTTACAAAAAAGACATGCTCATATTTGATTGTAGTATATATGTATTTATGATTTATAAAACAGGTAAATGTAAACCTCTAGAAAAAAAGAATGAGCCCACTGCAAAATTATGTTACTCTGATTTAGTTACCTACTAAGTGTACGTTTGAGTCAAATTAACATTTATGTTTTATGCTGTAAACTACTGACTTGATAACTCCCGAATTCCAAATACAAAGGTTGTCCGATTGAGCATTTATTTACAAAAAACAACAAATAGTCAAAAGAGCAAATAAGTCCTGTGTGTTTTTTGTCTTTATTTGGATTGTGTTGCATCTTTTCATTTCTTTCTTAGCTGTGTTTATAAAATTGTTCATCATGGATTAATGAACGATTGATTTACAGAAATAAATAATTTCACTGGGAAATAGTTCAATTATTGCAACAAACAGGGTTTTTGAAAACTCTGGAGGGGAAAAAAACAGGCCGGCATTGACCATGTCAGCCTTGGGCCGAGTTGGCCAACTTTAACCTCCAGTCAATTTGTGTGCCTATTATGTGGTCCATGTTTCCCTCAGATGACCCCTTTGATAAGCCGCCTTGCAGAGGCTGCTCGTCTTACCTCACTGAGCCTTACATCAAGTGTGCAGAATGCGGACCTTCACCTTTCCTCCTCTGCCTCCAGGTGACAATATGTCCATTCCATGTAAAGAAGTTCCTTTGATTCTGAATAATCCCTCAAACATCTTCTCTCTCTGTTTTGCCAAGTGTTTCACTCGAGGCTTCGAATACAAGAAACATCAGAGTGATCACAAGTATGAAATCATGGTAAATTTGAAGGGTCCGTCGGGGACATCATTCATGGTTACCTCTCACATGCAAACTCACACGCACTACCAAAATGCTGTTGCCGCACTAGTAAAACACTCAAAACTACAGAAAAACTCTTAACACATCGAATTAGTTTTGCTCACACACAACTGAAACAGTTACACACAAACGACTGAAATGCACTCACACATGGGGGGGGTGTATCAGCTTGTTCAAGTGAGAAAAACAAAATCCAAAATGTATCACAAATGCTGTTGCACCTCTCACTAGTTTCTCATGGCAGCCGCAAAGTCAATTTCAGTAATGTTCCGTCTTGTTCATCCAGACGTCAGACTTTCCCGTTTTGGAGCCCGGCTGGACTGCGCAGGAGGAGATGGCTCTGCTTGAGGCTGTGATGGATTGTGGCTTTGGCAACTGGTCAGTGAATTATTTCATTCAGATTTGTTAAGATAGTTCAACACAACTTTTTTTTCCCCATAACTATCGCTATGCTTGGTTTTCCTTCTTTTGACTTTTGTTGATGAGCTTGTACTTGCCAGGCAGGACGTGGCCTACCAGATGCGCAGCAAAAGCAAGGAGGAGTGCGAGAGTCATTACATGAAGAATTTCATCAACAATCCTCTCTTCTCCTCAACACTGCTCAGCCTGCGCAAGACCAAAGACGCTCGCTTTGCGGACAGCGCTATTCCTTTTAAACGTTAGTGACACCACATCAATGCTTTTTTTATGTCAAGATATAGAATATAATATAATGTTTGTGAACGGTCGGTATCACTGTAATTCTGGGTAGTAGAAAGGGAGTGACTACCACTGCCTGGAATTGAAAAACAGTGGAAAACACGTCTAGTGTTTGGGGTTGCATCGTCAATTTTTATACTTAAAAAAAAAAAAAAATCATCCAGTGGAACCTGCTAGTGAGGAGGATGAATCGAATGGGCTGCCGCATTGGTTTGGGCCAACTCTGATCGTATGATACATTCAAAGACTTCACTAACCCTTGCTTTTTTTTAGCGTGTGTCACTAAAGCATAAAAAAATCCTATTTAATCTGACAGCGACCGAAGATCCACCTCGGCCCACGTTTGACTCTGCGCTGTCTAGGGACATGGCGGGATACATGCCGGCCAGAGCTGACTTCATGGAGGTGAGGGATTTCATTTGATTGGGTATTTGACTTGTTTTGCTCATGATGGGGCAAATTCTGCCAGGTGCTCAAGTCAGAAAAGACGCGCAGCTATGTACTTTTTGGGCTGTGCCGATTCTCCCATTGACTTAAGTATGTCACCTTCATGAAGTGTACACCTTCTTGTGGAGTGACGTTAAATTGATGGCGTCCCCTGTCAAACCAAGCGGTGCGCGGATTCCCCCAGAGACTGAAGCATCTTTCCTCTTGCCCACTCAGGAGGTTGTACTAAGGACTAGCGACTCTTCCATCCATCTGTTATCAGAAACTGCTTAATCCTCACGAGGGTCACGGGTGTGCTGGAGCCCATCCCAGTTGTCTTCGGGCAGTAGTTGGGGTTCATCTTGAACTGGTTACCAGCCAATTGCAATGTTTTTGGTAATGTGGGAGGAAACTGGAGTACCCGGAGAAAACTCGCGCAGGCACAGGGAGAACATGCAAACTACACACAGGAAGGCCGGAGCTAACCAGTCGTTCGCCGTGCTGCCTTTAGCGGCTCTTGAAGGTGAAAAATCACATTGCACGTTTTGATTCAATGAGCTGTCACTGTGCTCCGATGGTAATGGCCCCGTGACCAAGCAGCTGTTGACTTGTGCTGGCGGCTTGGAATTTGTCTGAAAGCGCCACTTACGACTGCAGGCATTCTAATGGTGGCAATTGTGAGAATCACCGCGCCTTGAAAGTGTGCAAGAAAAGCACGGAGCGAATTGATTTAAGTGCAAATGGGAGAATATGCCGCTACGTGAATCTGAATAAAATCCAGTTAGAGTGACTCACACGAGGCAATGACTCATACTGACATTTACCTTTCACTCTGACATTGTGCGCGTCCACCCAGATGGCAAATGAACTGCACCTTCACCTCGCAGTAATAATAGTAATAATCATGATCTCGCTCTCTCTCAACAAACAGGAGTTTGACAACTACGCCGAATGGGATTTGAAAGACATTGACTTTGTGGACGATGATTCAGACATCCTGCGTGGTGGGTATCGAAAGCTGCTCGAAGAGGCCCAACCACACATGACATTGTGAAACGATAATATGATTTTCTTGTTTCAGCACTCAAACTGGCTGTGGTGGATATATACCATTCAAGATTAAAGGAGCGACAACGCAGGAAAAAGTAGGTTCGCAGCAAACTGTGATGACGCCAGTTTGACACTAGGTGGCATCCTTGGCCTGTTAAGTGTCCAATTTTTTATTTTTATTTTTTTTCAATATCCATGCATCAATAACAAATCAAAAACAAAACTGGAGTGATCACAGTATTTTCCCCTAAATAATGTTCAGGAAGCCCCATCCACACCTTAAAAGATTTGACTTTTGATTGAGTCACTTACTGCCGTCCACTTTAGGCGTTTGGACTTTGTCTTTCACCGTTAGGAAAAGTTTGTTTCTTGCTTTTCTGCTTTAGTAGTAGGACAGGGGGTGATTAGCCCAAAACACCAGTTTCTAACCATGAAACAGCTAAAAGGAGCTTTTTGTCAAAACAAACATGACAAGCAGAACAGCGACTCTGACAGTAATACTTTTTTCTGCCACCTCAAACTACATGCAGTGGAACCCTGCTATGTGTCATGCAGGTCATGCACCTGGCCGTCTCGCGAATAACGAAAATCCATGTATAATTGATGCCCATTGAAAGGCAATTCTTCAAACATTAAATATGTGTTTTGCACAAAGAACAGTGTGAAATGGGGAAGAAGCCCAGCTCTCACCCCCCAAAAATACCAAATTGATGTCTTTTTGTGCATTTTATTTGATTAATGCCATCCTCTCAAATATGTTGCTCCTGTGTTCTATTGAGTTTATTTTTTCATGACATGCTAAAATGTGACAGAATAATATCTTTTGTGTGTGTGTGTGTGTGTGTGTTTTTCAGGATTATTCGTGATCACGGACTCATCAACATGCGCAAATTCCAGGGTGAGTTGGCCTCTGACACACGCATGCCCACATGGTTGCTATGGCTACAAGCTAAACGCTGCACTGCAGGGTAAACGAGTTAACGCATGACGTCGCATGATGATCTTAAGGCACACGACACGTGTCCGTCCGCGCCGCGATTGGTCGGCGGAGGTTGAAGTTGTGCGCTTATGATTTATTCATGTGAGCTCCACCCCCATCATCGCATCAGTCCTTATCTCTCGCAGCCCTCAGGAGACAAAAGACAAGTCCTGCTAGCCGTCGAGCTGCCGAACTGTCGTCATGGAGACTGTCAGGGATCGTGTGTGTGTGTGTGTGTGTGTGTGTGTGTGTGTGTGTGTGTGTGTGTGTGTGTGTGTGTGTGTGTGTGTTTTGGTATGTTGATATCTGAGCCTGAGAGGCACACACATACACACTAGCACACACATCTCCTCTCTAACACCCCCTCAGCAGCTTGCCTCTACTGTGTTACTCAGCTTTGAGACAAACAAGCTCCAAGGTGGCCAATGCACCACACACTCAGATCCTGATGTACTTGAGCTTTCCGCATGCAATAATAGGTGCAATCAGGTGTGCATGCTGATGTACGGTGGTTATCAAAGGTATACACACTCTTGTTCAAATGTTGTTTTTTTTTGTGATTAAAAAAGAAAAAAACAGACCCAGATGAATAGTTTTTCCACCATAGTGTGACGCATAACCTGTACAAGTCCTTTGAAAAGTAATGAAATTGTTCATAGAGGGGAAGTCAAAATAAACAACTGAGATAACCCTCTCATAACCAAGGATATGGATCTGAATTAACCAGTCACATTGAAATGAATGTTAAATTGGAGTCGGCACAAACCTGCCACTGTTTAAAATGTCCCCAAATAAAGTTCAGGTGTTCTAGCAGGCTTTTCCTGACATTTTTTGCAGTCACAATGGCATTTGAACAGGAGTGTGCAGACTTTTTTTATCCACTGTATTCACACTAGGCGCACCCAGGATAAGGTCGCTGAAATTCCAGGAAATTTCCCAGTTCTAAACCTTTCATGGAATTTAACAGGAATATAGGAGAACAAACTATAACTATACAACACATAAGGTTGGCCGTTAATACGGAGGTTAAAGATAGTTGAGGGGAATGACTAATACAGACAGATTTCTATTGGCGCTGCTACTACCACTACTACTAGTCAACTACTAATATTTGTCAACTGTGGGCATGTGGACCCCTTTGGGCCTGTTTGTGATGAAGGGCTATCTAAATAAATGTGACTTGACTACTAATAAAGCACTGCATGTTAACTAGTAGACTTTTTTTTTTTTTTTTTTTTTTTTTTTTTTTTTTTTTTGAACATGTAGTTTTAGTAGAATAGAGTTGTCCTGCTATTATGCCAAAGTGGTCCTAATAGTGAGGACAGAGTGCAAACTGTTTAGATGGACCTTGAGATGGATATCAAGGATACGGAATGAATGCTCATACAGCTTCAGTTATATACTAGTACACTCCTTTTCCTCACAAGTAAGACCTATCATCGCACTAGTAGAATGACTAAAGTGCACAAAAAGAACGACTGTCTCTTCCTCGTAATGATTTTCCAAAACAGGACAACTTCATGTTACAAGTGCAGCATAACTTTGTGCTAGTTCATATCTGAAGGACTTGATGTAAACAAGTATAATTTTATAATGGCACATCTTTAAAGTCAGGGTTATGGGTTGAAAAGTCTTTCAAATTCAGGTTTCAGGGATTGGTTAACGTTTCAGAGTAAGGGAACTGCATCCATTGTTTGATGTGATTTACTTGAAATGACTCAGGGATGAGTTTAAATGCTGTTTCATCTCTCTGGCTGATTATTGTTGCCTTCATTCCCGAGGAGGTGACAACATTTGAGTCTGTACTTCTCACTCTGTTCTTTCACAGTCCAAGAGCATTGCTACCCCAAGGAGGTTCAGGACCTCTATGACATCATGAGACGATTCGCCAGAGTCACAGGACCTGTTGAACACGACAAATTTATCGAGAGTCACGCGTGTCAGTATCTGACATCACATCATTGTCATATGTTCTTATATACCCCACAAAACTTTATTATTATTATGATTATAATATTTTGTGGGGTGTCTTATGTTTTTTGTTTTAGTGGAGTTTGAGCTGCGGCGGGAGATCCGCAGGCTGCAGGAGTACCGCAGGGCCGGGATCAAGTCTTCCTGCAGTGAGTCCCCAACCCCACCGCGGCAGGGCCCGCTCATAGCGACTAGTGGTTACCGGTGCGGTTTTCGTGTTGCTCAGGTGCCAAAGTATACGAACGTGCAAAGCGAATGCGCGAGGACGAGCGTCACAAGCGGACCATGCTGTGCGACGTGCTGCAGTACATCCAGGACGGTCGAGCGTGCCAGCAGTGGCTCAGCAAGCAGGCCGCCATGTAAGACACAGACAGGGAGAGGCAGTGGGTGTGTGTCCGTTTGTCTGTCCTTATGCGTGTGATGGTCTTTCACATGTGAGTCCCCTTCATAGTTGTGTGTGTGTGTGTGTGTGTGTGTGTGTGTGTGTGTGTGTGTGTGTGTGTGTGCGTGCGTTAGTACAACTCTGGAGTAATGTATGCGCGTTTGTATCTGTCCATCCATTTTTCCGAACAAGCCTTGTTGATTTTCTCATCTCAAGTCTTTTTCTCTGATTTCGATCCAATCTACCGTGCCTGAGTGTGTGTGTGTGTGTGTGTTTATTAATAGTGTCACTTTTAATCCCCCCCCCCCCGCAGAGATGCTGGCATCACACCGGCTGTCACGACCATCACAACATCAGGTAGCCGTTATTTCCAGTTGTTGATTTCTATTGTGTCGATTGTCACAAATAATGGGTGAGAGGAAGCGGTCACGTGGATTCTAAAGACTTGCACGCCAAGTGCAACCAAGCGTGTTGTGTTGTGTGTGTGTCTCCATAGCAACAGGCAGGAGGAGCGCGCCTCCCCTCAACCTGACCGGGCTGCCTGGTACAGAGAAGCTCAACGAGCGAGAGAAAGAGGTACGCAGGCCTATGTCAAAAGATGGGTTTCAAACCAGGTTTAGGATTTATAATCAGGGTGTCAAGCCAGGGTCGGGGGTCACATACAATGGTTAGCGTTTCATTCAAGGGATAGGGTTTCAAGTGAAGGTGCGGTGTTAAAGGCAGGGTGACTGTTTGAAATAAGTGCTTCAAAGTAGGGTTTCAAGCAAGGATTTATACTTTCATGAGGGGTTTCAAATCAGGATTTCAAGACAGTGTTAAGTTTTGGAGCCACGGTTCGTGTTTTAAGACAGTGTTGGGTTTCAAATTAGGATTTGAAGCCCGGGTTGGGGTTTTACCACACATTCAAATGGACATCGCTCTGAATTCTGCTGTTTTACGATTACCGGTACATAGGTTAGCTTAGTTAGCAAATAGCTTGGCTTCTCTGACTTTCCTCGCCATCCCTTTGTGAGAACGGTACTTGACAGATGTCTAGTTTATTCGCTGCTATGAAAGCGATGATTACTGCCCTTATGGTCGTCTCCATGACGTGTTTACCTGCACTAGTTGCCAGCTGAAGCACTTGGCTACCTTGCGGGTACAGCTTAAGTAGCACCGACCGAGCTTGCGTCCACCTCACCTCCTACCCTTGCGCAGTTCACAAAAGTGTGTTATGCTACGTATGCCCAGCCTAGTGAAGCTTTTTGGGACCGGCATCGCCATTCAGTTATCGGAAAAACAGTTATGTGATTCATTGTGTTTTGAGACGGCGTAAAATGCAATTCTAATTGAAGTTAAGAAACTGTCTTCCATAATAATTCATTGTTCATTTTAATTAGTTTTAGCCTAAGCCTAACCAGTAAGACCAAAACATTTAAGTATAATAACTCTGGTACTGTCTATTGCTTGTGTTTATGAAAAAAATACATGCAAATACACCTTGAAGGAAAGGTAATATTAATCACAATTGCAATATTCGGTTGGGGGGGGTAGGAATCGCAATTAGATTATTTTTCAAAACCGTTCCAAACAAGGTTTAAAAGGTGTCATGAGTCAATGTGAATGTTCCTTTGATATTGTTGGTTGAATATAGTTGTGTGACATGACTGCCGTGTTATTGTTTTGCGCGTTAGCTGTGCCAGGTGGTGCGCCTGGTGCCCGGTGCGTATCTGGAGTACAAGCAGGCCCTGCTGAACGAGTGTCGGCGTCAAGGCGGCCTGCGGCTAGCTCAGGCCCGAGCGCTCATCAAGATCGACGTCAACAAGACACGCAAGATCTACGACTTTCTCATCAAAGAGGGATGCATCACCAAGGCTTAGCGGCACGACGACGCACGCGCCTGTGCAGTTTGTCTCCTTTCCTGGTCTTACGCCGTCATCGCAACATACATGTTACGATGTGCACCAAGTGTCTTTTCAAGAGATGGACTTCAACTGGGACACACTTTCTTTGTGGATAGCAAAAGCCCTGAAACCACAGGACTGGTGTCAAGGGCCTGGGACATTTTTGAGAGATTTCGAGAAAATTTTGCCAATGGTAAATTTTCATGCCAAGGATGAGCTGGGGAATTTTTTAAAAGTATTTTAAATTGTAAACATTCCATTGAATGGGAATTTATGGAAACATAGAAGTAAACCAGTCATTTACAAAATTGATGGTTGGCTCTCAATAGGGGTGGAAATTTATGAGTAAATTTCCATGAAGTATTTAAGGCATGGAATTTTGGAAATGTTCCACATCGGAAACTTTTATGGTAAGTAATAGGAATACATTGGAATTAATTCATTAGGAATTTACTAAATTAAAAGTTGGGTATATCAGGGATAGAAACTGGTAAATTTCTGTACATTTTCCTGTGAATTTTCATGAGGAATATTGAGGAAAGGAATTTCCTAAATATTAAAAATTGGAAGTGTTCCATGTGAATTCATGGGAATAAACCAGGAATTGACCCAGTTTGGCTCTCAATAGGGGGTGAAAAATTCCGAGTGAATTTCCATTAAATTTAAGGTGCAGAATTTTGGAAATGTTGCGAATTAGAAACTTTGATGATGATTAATAGGAATACTATGAAATTAATTAGTGGTAATTTACTGAAGGTTGGCTCTAAAAGCGGTGGAGGTTTTCAGTAAGTTTCCTGTGAATTTCCATGGGAATTGTTGCAAAGGAATTTTAAAGATATTAAAAATTAGAAGTGTTTCAAACTCGGATTAGGGTTTCAAAGTAGGGTTGGGGTTTCAAACTCGGGTTGGTGATTTAAAGTACGGTTTAAAATTTGGGTTACAGTTTACAATTATGGTTTAAACTAAGGTAAGGGTTTTGGAGTAGAGTTTCAAACTAGGGTTAGGGTTTCCAATTAGGTTTTCAAACTGCAGTTCGTGTTTAAAAGTATGCTTTCCAATTAGGGTTTCAAACTAGGGTTCGCGTTTCAAGGTAGGGTTTCAAAGCAAGGTTACTGTTTCAAAGTGCAGTTTTAAAATAGGGATAGGGTTTCCAATTGAGTTTCAAACTAAGTTTAGGGTTTCGAAACAGGGTTTCAAAGAAGGATTAGGGTTTCAGAGTCAAGTTTCAAATTAGGGTGAGGGTTTTCAATTAGGGTTTCAAAATAGGTTTAAAGTTTCAAAGTAGGGTTTAAAACCAGTTTAGTTTCAGACTAGGCTTAGTGTTTCAAAGTTGGGTTTAAAACTAGGTTTTAAGTTTTCAAAGTAGGTTTTCAAATCTAGGAGTGTTTCAAAATTGTTCCAAACCACGGACGGTTAGGGTTTTAAACTAGCGTTTTCAAAGTAGAGTTTTAAAACTAGGGTTAGGATTTCAAAATAGGGTTATCAATTAGGGTTATGCTTTACAATTAGGGTTTCAAATAAGGGTTAGGTGTCAAAATAGGGTTTCAAACTAGGTTTAAAATTTCAAAGTAGGCTTTCAAACTAGGGGTGGTGTTTCAAAGTAGGATTTCAAACGAGTTAGGGTTTCAAAGTAAGGTTTTAAACTAGGTTAATGGTTTCAAACTAGCGTTAAGGTTTCAAAATGGGATTTCAAACTATTGTTAGGGTTTCAAAGTAGGGTTTTAAACTAAGGTTTTGGGTTTCAAACAGTCCGGTTTCCAACCCAGGGTCTTAAACTGTTTGAAATTTGGATTTTGAGATCGCGTTCGAGTTTCATTTGCAGGCTAAATATTTGTTTTTATGCAGTAAGCCAACTTAGAAATTCTCAATATTGTACACAGTTTGTGTATCCTATTTGAGCATGCTTCAGTGGTAGAAACTAACAAAAGTACAAATACTTTTTTTTTTTTTTTTGGACTGAATTAGGTTTTTCTGATGGATGTGCTCCACTTGAGTATGTTAGTAGTACAGACATATACAGTCGAAGTTTAGTCGGTTTTCTCTTTATTTTTATTGTCAATTCTTGATGGTAGCAACAAGAGAAGTCAACGCCCCCAAAAACCTGTAGTACTGATCGTTTCCTCTGCGTGTCGCCGTTGTTCCCACTCACATGGTCAAAAGGGGAGAAGGCGGACCGCGCTTTTGCGCGCCTTTACGTAGACTCTGTCGTCATTTTGGCGTGTCGTGCATTTCGCTTGTACCTCCCCCCTCCTCCCACCTCCTCTCCCCACTGCCTCCCACTCTTTCCCATCCTATCCTTGACGTGATTTGGCTTTGGCGGACAGTGGACGCTGGGTGCCGAGCGCGGTGCGCTGAAGCGGGCGTTGCGTTGAAGAACAAACCGTCATCGCTTCATCTTCATTCGGATTGGTGAGTGGCGACTTGACGTCTAAGCGCCAACATGTGTTGTTTATAAATAACGCGTCTCGCTAGTTTGCTGGTGTGTGTGTGTAAATGTATCTAAATGTACATATATTTTCTCCAAATAAACGCTCAAAATGCCAATATTTGAGTTACAAATATGGGAGTTATGTTGTCAGTACTTTAAAGATGTCAGTCTTAATCAAAAGTGTGCCCAAAATCAGAGAAAGTGATGATTTTGCAGTGGTCTCTACATTTTTTTCTGCCCATGTTCATTTCATGCCACATGCCACAAAATCGGCATAAGGCAACTGAATTTAAGATACTCTGCTTCAAATTGGTAAAGTAGTGTTGAATGCATACATGACATTGTTAATGTTCCCCATTTTCATGCATTATTTACCTACTTATCGCTGTAAAAAATGGATAATGGAGGAAAAAATAGACCTGTTTCGGTATTTTTGCCATTTTTCAAGTTTGTGTTTTCAGATGTTTCTTGCAATTTCAATTGAATTTAAAGGATAAAACAAAGGGTTACACAATTTGTATCGAACCAAACAGAAAACTTATGAAAGGAGGGTTATCTTAATACTAACGCATAATGCAAACCATCATAGGGCGACCAAAACTAGCATCAATGTTGCATTAGTTATACTGTATCTCTCGAAGCAACATACTACTGGTCATTGAAGCATGAAATCAGGATGCACAAAATTAATTATTTGCTGCTTTAGAGCGCCTCATTGTCAGTCATGAGTGTGTGCATGTCACAATGTGAATGGAGGAAGTGCCAAGGGCATGGGGGATGTATTCATTTATTTATTTAATGTCATACCTGAGAGCCAGTATGTGGGCCAGTGCTTTGGGCTAGTGTCGCCGCTTTAGAGTTGTCTCAAATTCAATGACAAAAACATTTTGATGGTCTTTTTTGTGGGGCTGATTACAACATAACATATTCATCTAAATGGGGAATCTTGATTTCCAGGTTCATGGAACTTCTAAGAAAACAGCTTTTGCATCGAAGCTCACTGTAGTGACTCATGTGATTTTGTTTTCTTCCAGGAGTCTTGCTTCTCTACTATGATTTTGTGCTCCTGAGGGATTCTCCTGTAATACGTCTTGTCATCTTCATCCATGGGCTCCCGCAGCCAAGGCTTTTTCCCACACCACCACAGCAGCCACCACCACCACCATCATCATCACCATCACCATCGTAGCTCCTCCTTGGCACCCCCGCCATCGGCGGCGGCGGTGCCCCGGCTATTGTCCGAGGGCGGCATGGCCCAAATTACGCCGGGCCTGTTCCTGAGCCGCGGCAACGTGGCATCCAACCGTGGCTTGCTCCTGTCCAAGGGCATCACGTGCGTGGTCAACGCCACGCTGGAGCTGCCCAACTTCAACTGGCCGCATGTGGAGTACGTGAAAGTGCCACTGGCCGATGCGCCGCACTCACCCATTTCGCTGTACTTCGACGGTGTCGCCGATAAGATTCATAGCGTGGGCCGCAAGCGGGGCGTCGTCCTGGTACACTGCGCAGCCGGTGTGAGCCGTTCCGCCTCGCTGTGCCTGGCCTACCTCATGAAGTACCACCGTGTATCGTTGGCCGACGCCCACGCCTGGGTCAAGGCCCGTCGCCCCGTCATCCGGCCCAATGGCGGATTCTGGCGTCAGCTCATTGAATATGAGCGCAAGCTCTTCGGAAGGAACTCGGTCAAGATGGTGCAGACGCCCTACGGAGCCATCCCTGACGTCTACCAGAGGGACCGCCACAGTCTGGCACCCTACTGGGGACTGTGAATCCCTTGCCCCCACCCTCAATGAATTCTGGAGACAGGGGGATGGACCACGGGTGCAGTCGGTCTCCTGGTGTTGACTGTCCTTGTCATGATGTCACGTGTACGGTAGCAGTTTTTGACAGCAGTGTACAGTGAACCACCCCGACCCCCTGAGTTGAATTAGTTCCATGTGCCTTGATTTACATGCATCCTGGTTCGGCTCTCAGATCAACTTTTCAGATTGAAATGAATGGAAATACCATTAATCTCTTCCAGCCACCCATAAAACACCAACAAATATAGGGTCTTTTTTATCATTATTATTATTAAAACTTTTATTATTATAAGATTCACACTATGATATTGCACTTATAAAAATATCAAATAGACTAGACAAAACTAAACGGTTTGTGCATCATGACTTCATGTTTCAAACGACAGGTGTCAAACTCAAGGCCTGGGTTGAGTTTGATTCAGCCCGCCACCTGATTTTGTGCTTCACAAAGCAAACCGAAATTAGCCCAATAAATTACCAAAATTGCTAATTGTCTTCTCTTGACAAGTTAATGAGATGTCACACACATCTGAAGCATTTAAAACAGGAAACTAGCGTTGCTCAGAAAGCAACGCTAGTATTAAGTTTGGTTGAGGATAAAGAATAGATGCCTATGACTGTTGTTATATTGTCTTTCTACATTTGTGTTCAAATAGCCATTGCTTCACCAGTTGTAACACTGCGACTTTGAATGCTAATTTTATTAGCCACCCTAAAGCATTTTGCATTGTGTATTAGCATTAAGCGTGTGGATCTTCATGAGAAAAGAGTAATTTTGATGTTGTCTTGGTCTTATGGTCGTTTTTACAGTACATTTTTACACGGAGTGATAAAAAAATCATCACGAAGACTCTTATCTGCCAAACTGCTGCTCATTATAAAATGTTCTGCTTGGAACTCATGACACCTTGTTTTGGGGGGGAGAAAAAAAAACTCATCCTTGGGGTCCCATGTAAATCAAGGTACCACTTAATGCGTTTGTGCCCCCCAAAAACCACCACAATCATTTTGAATAAAGAAAACTAGCAGTGGATTGTCAAACAGAAATAGAAAAAGAATAGTGCTGTGTGTGCAGTAGCATTTTACAAGAGCACCTTACAGTGGTAAATCTACATTTTAAACTAATATTGACTGCATTGTAAAGCTTTTGGGGATTGGGCTCAGTCCCTAACCGGCGTGAATATCGGGTTCACTGTACACAAATTAACTAAATACATAAGAGTAAAACTAATTGTATTTGTGTGTACTGTACAGTTTTATTGGACTGTTGGTTTTTTTTTTTGGTATTCTTTCAGTTTGGTACCGACAGCAAGTATTGTGAGCTATCGATTTGCATTCACACACTACATTCTAACCCGAAACCTTGGCCTAAAACCGAAGCCTAGCTCTAATTTTAACCACAGGCACGTCCAGAGCCCTAAACAAACAAAATAACTGTTAGATTACATTTCTAAAAACACATAAATGTCAATTTTATAAAAGTCTTGCTATGAGTTCCTGTGTTAAGTGGCCAACCTGAACAAAACACTTGCCATTAACTGGAATTTTCCCGCCTTCTTCTTTGTAACTGGTGTGAACTGTAAGTAAGCGTTGGTGGAAACATGATTAGATTTATTCCGAAGTAAAAATCTACTTTTTTAAATGATTAACAATATGTAAAACAGACAAAAAAAAGTCCTGTGCAGCACAGGCCTGACGATATTCTCTCTCTCTCTCTCTCTCTCTCTCTCTCTCTCTCTCTCTCTCTCTCTCTCTCTCTCTCTCTCTCTCTCTCATACACATTATTTTAGTGCAATGTGGTGCTATGGTGTTCAGTGATGATTCCTGTTGGCTTTTGGTGAGCCAGACTCCAAGCACAAAAATGACATGACAACATTGGTTCATTGGTTCAAATAATTAGCTTCAGTTTGGAAAAACATGACCCAAAAATAAAAAAGAAGAGCCTGTGCCAATATTTGTTTGACTTTGGAAAAAGAAAAAAATAAATAAAGACTTTCATGCAACATGACTGCCATTTATATTGCATGTGTTTTGTGTGTTGGGCAAGATTGCATTGAGAAGACACGAGCATGAAATACAGCACATGAGGCTTTTGGATTAACACGGCAGCTGGTGTTACTAAACATAGAGCCGCCTCAAGAACAAACAATTGTTTACACAATTGTCCAACTTGGAAGAGAGCGTGCGGCCACGTACTGCCTCACCCGGATTCAAAAGACAAAGAGATTAATTTCTGATCACGTCTGCCAGCCTCTTGTGTATCCCCAATTCTTTTTTTAAAAATCTTTTGGGGGTTGAGGCCTCACGTAAAATTGAGTCAGGTTGAACTCTAACCCAAAGCCTTATCCATATTCAGAATATGAACCATATTTTCCCACGGGTCACTGATGGATGGTGTTGTGCCACACTTGCCTGACTGGTGAGCAGGCAGCGTGGGATAGGTTATCATTCAGTGAATGTGGGTCGAACTTTTGCCTAAAATTCCAAAAGGTATGCTTGGTGAGAATGCAACAGTATCTGCTCAGCGTGAAAAACAAACAAAAAAAATAATTTGGTTAAGGTGGACTGAATTATAAACAATTCCCAAAAGCAGTTAATTTTAGCACAAATCCTTCTGCTGGAAAGCAACACAATGTCAAGAGAAGCCCACTAGAACATCAGAATTTAGCAGTTAATGAGTGGCACGTTAAATGCCGGTAGGTGTGCTGACTCCCATTTCGTTTGAATGCGAACAATTCACTCAAAACAGTCCCATGCCCAGTTGCGAGGCTGTGCCCACTTTTGCACATTTTCACTGGGCCTCTTGAAAAGATTTAGTTGGATTTTTTTTTTCTTCCAATTGTGATGTGGAGGTTAAAGTTCACACAAATGGTGTAAAAAAGTTCAGCATTTTTTTCACATCTTTATCATCATCATAAACTGGCATTTGAAAAGGGGCGCATAGACTTTTTCTACCCACCGCTTATATACACCATATGACGCTCACTCCATTTTGACCATTACTTTCAGAACACAGCTACCTTTCCATTTGAATAAAAGCACAGTCAGGGTTCCTACTCTTCCACTTGCTTTTTATTTATGGACCTTTTAAGGACTTTTGAGGGCTAATTGAGCCATTTTTGAAGGACTTTTTCTCCATTCAGCAAGGGATTCACGGTGGATTTAATGACCAGAAAGCCACATATCACCGAGCTGGTGTTCAAATCATTGTTGCCAAAGGAAGGGCACATATTTATTTTTAGGGGCAAATGGCATACTTGTGAAATTGGCCCGAAATGAACCGAAGTGATCACATGATCATCATCAGAACTGAGCGGAGACGGTGGGAAAAGCAGAGCGGGAACCAGGAAGGCATGTAGCCCAACAGCGGGGTTTGAGGGGAAGGGCGCGAGGCGCATTTTCCGACAAAACTATTCATTGGAAGGGTGGGGAAAATGAACACCAAAGGTTAATTTTAAGGATTTTTATTGATTTTAGAAGCTTTCCATGAAAATTAAGGACATATTTTTACAACCTTTTTATGGGTTTTTATGAACTTTGGTCGTTTTTTTGGGGTTAAAACGCTTTACTATACATGGTCGGTTTTTTTGGGCTAAAAACGCCTTACTATACATGGTCGTTTTTTTCGTCGAAAAAGGCCTTAAGGTACATGGTATTTTTTTTCGTCTAAAAACGCCTTACAAAACATGGTCGTTTTTTTGGGGTTAAAACGCCTTACTATACATGGTCGTTTTTTTTCGGGTTAAAACGCCTTACTATACATGGTCGTTTTTTTCGGCTAAAAACGCCTTACTATACATTGTTGTTTTTTTCAGGTTAAAACGCCTTACGATACATGGGCGTTTTTTTTCGGCTAAAAAAGCCTTACTATACATGGTCGTTCTTTTCGGCTAAAAACGCCTTACTACACATGGTCATTTTTTTCGACTATAAATGCCTCACGATACATGGTGTTTTTTTCGGGTTTAATGCCATACTATACATGGTTGTTTTTTTCGGCTAAAAACGCCTTACTATACATGGTTGTTTTTTTTCGGCTAAAAATGCCTTAATATACATGGTTGTTTTTTTCAGCTAAAAACGCCTTACTATGCATGGTCGTTTTTTTCGTCGAAAAAGGCCTTAAGATACAGGGTAGTTTTTTTCGTCTAAAAACGCCTTACAACAACATGGTTGTTTTTTTGGGGTTAAAACGCCTTACTATACGTGGTCGTTTTTTTCGGCTAAAAACGCCTTACTATACATGGTCGTTTTTTTTTTTCCGGTTAAAACGCCTTACTATACATGGTCGTTTTTTTTTTTCCGGTTAAAACGCCTTACTATACATGGTCGTTTTTTTTTTTCCGGTTAAAACGCCTTACTATACATGGTCGTTTTTTTTTTTCCGGTTAAAACGCCTTACTATACATGGTCGTTTTTTTTTTTCCGGTTAAAACGCCTTACTATACATGGTCGTTTTTTTCGCCTAAAAACGCCTTACTATACATGGGTGTTTTTTTCGTTGAAAAACGCCTTACTGTACATGGCCGTTTTTTTCTGGTTAAAACGCCTTACTATATATGGTCGCTTTTTTTCGGCTAAAAAACGCCTTATCATACATGGTCGGTTTTTTCGGCTAAAAACACCTTACTATAAATAGTCGTTTTTTTCGGCTAAAAACGCCTTACTACGCATGGTCGTTGTTTTCGTCTAAAAACGCCTTACTATACATGTTCGTTTTTTCGTCGAAAAAGGCCTTACTAAAAATGGTCGTTTTTTTCGTCTAAAAACGCCTTACTATACATGGTCGTTTTTTTGGCTAAAAACACCTTACTATACTTGGTCGTTTTTTTCGTCCAAATACGCCTTACTGTACATGGGCGTTTTTTTCTCGGCTAAAAAAGCCTGACTATACATGGTCGTTTTTTCCTCTCCAGAACGCCTTACTATACATTGTAGTTTTTTTTGGCTAAAAACGCCTTACTATACATGGTAATTTTTTTCGGCTAAAAACGCCTTACTATACATGGTTGTTTTTTTCGGCTAAAAACGCCTTACTATGCATGGTCGTTTTTTTCGTCTAAAAACGCCATGATTGATTTTTTGGGCTAAAAACGCCTTACTATTCATGGTGGGGTATTTTAGTGCTGAAAACACCTTACTATACATGGTCATTTTTTTCAGCTAAAAACGCCTTAGTATACATGGTCATTTTTTTTTGTGCTGTAAAAAACGTATTACTATACAAGTCGTTCTTATTGTTGTGAAAAATGCCTTCTGTCCTTCAATACTTTACACAAAAAGCCTTTCTGTCCATGCGGCTCACATTTCAAAAAACGGTTTCATATAGGGACAATGTAAAGTGCTCATGACCTACCTAGTAGTCAAATGGTTAGTGCGTCTGCGTTGCGCTGTGGAGATGCAGGGTTCAAATCCAGCTATGTCCTTCCTCTGTGTTCTCAAAAATGTGTGTGGCCATGCATTTTCTGATCCTCTTTTCTGCACCATTCGGCCTCACACTCACACCTCCGGACAATGTTAAGTGTGTGTTCATCATCTGACTGGTAGTCAAATGGTTAGTGCGTTGGCGTTGCACTATGGAGGTGCAGGATTCAATTCCCAATCCAGCCATCCTGTGTGTTCTCAAGAACATGCATAGCTATCCATTTTCTGATCCTCTTGCGCAACTTTGCGCTCACACTCACACCAAGGAACAATACAGAGCACTCATTCACTATCTGGTAGTCGAATGGTTCGTGCGTCGGTGGTGCGCTGTGGAGGTGCAGGGTTCAATTCCGGCTCCAACTGTTCGGCGTGAGATTGCATGTTCTACCTGTGCCTGTTCAGGTTTCCAAAAACATGTGTGGCCATCCATTTTCTTATCCTCTTCGCGCGCACACTTACACCTTGGGACAATGTTGACTGCAGGGTTCCCACTCTTCCACTTGCTTTTTATATGTGGACCTTGTAAGGATTTTTGAGGGCTAATTTAGCCATTTTTAAAGGACTTTTTCTCCATTCAGCAGAGGATTCACGGTGGATTTAATGAACAGAAAGCCACATAGGGGAAGGGTGGTGAAAATGACACAAATGAAATGAACACCATAGGTTAATTTTTAAGGATTTTTATTGATTTGAGAAGCTTTCTCTGAAAATTAAGGATGATTAAGAACATAATTTTACAAGTTCTTTTCTTATGGATTTTTATGAACTTTAAAGACACGTGGGAACCCTGACAGTTATCATCAGGAGAAAACATGAGCCTTTCTCCACT